GCTGTGACTTTCGTTTTAGCACTTTGGTGCTTTGCTTGTGAGTGTTTGCTTCTGTTTACTCACTTTAGTGCTGCGATTTTGTCTCCTTTTTTTTTTTTTCAAAGCCCACACCCGACCCCCCCCCCCCCCCCAAAAAAAAAAAAAAGGTTTAAAAAAAAAAAAAAAAAAAAAAAGCAGACGTGTGGCGTAGCTATGGCAAATTCAGTCCCCTAAGGTTGCATCTTTTTTGCGACGAACTCTACAGGCTGATAGTGGTAAGCTTGGAGACTCTGACTACTCACCAATGTTAAGAGCTGGAGAAGTAGAGCTTGATGACGATGAGTGCTTGGATCAGGTGCCAGATGCATCGTGGACAGTACCACAGGTCCCTTCTCCACCCACAGCCTCGGGGCTTTACTGGCCAAATAATTATCAGTCTCTGTCTGATGCAGCAGTCTTTGTGCCTGACATTTGCTGCTCACCGTTGCAAAACCCTTATAATCAACAGAGTGGAACTAGCTTGAAGCGGCGGAGGGGGTTCTAATCGGCTTTCTTGGAGATGGTTACTTCTGTTTGGTGTTCATGAGTTATATACCTGAAGCACAAAGTATATTGTGCACTGGTGGTAGTCTTGCGTAGTATCATCTTTCCTTTTATGCTTCATTTGTTCTGATGTAAAATGTTTTACACTAAAAAGTATTTTACATGTGAAGATGATTTCATCACTGTTGTTTTCTGGTGTTTGGTTGAAATGAAAAAAAGGAATTTGTCCGCAATTGGAAACAAAATACAAAGACAGACCCAAACAATAGAGCTTTTTGTGTAGCAAATTTGTGCAGTGGCAACAGTGACTATGTCTGTGGTATTGATAAAACTTTAGTTTCAATGTTTATTTGTTTTTTTGTTTGTTTGAGAAGCAGAAAATGTTTTTCACCAAAATTAGGTCATTTTTGTTGATCATGAAAAACATTTTTGGTTAAATCTTCATTTTTCATCTTAAAAGCAAATGAATAGATAACTACTACATTCACTACATACATATACAATAATCATAGAATAGAATGGATATGGAAGTGACAAAATCCCTCTATTTCCTAAGATCAGTGAAATTTTCAATCAACATCGAAAGAAAGTTTTCATTTTTTTGGAGCCATTTTTATGGCAATCAAACCAAGCATCAATTGTTTGATCAGATTTGAGTACACAAAATGAACAGAAGTTTTTAGCTTTACCTCCAGAAAAATAAGCTGCCTTGCTCAAGAGACTCGAAGGCACAGGAAAACAAATAAAAAGTAGATACAGAAGCTCTGTTTTGGCACTGAAATTACAATGAAAGAACTGATGTTTTACAAATCATAGTGAACATAATCAAACTGCTTGGTCCTTCGCGCAACAGAGAGACGGGGGCACTTACAAATAATAGAAACAATTGAGTTTGAAATGGCTCCAAGATTTCCGGGGATCATGCTTCATAGGTACCATGCCCAGTTGAGTTTGGCGGTCTGGCGTTGCTTTCAGTTTTCAATCACAATATTCACAAATTTTGTAAGCTACGATGGGCTTTGAACTGTGCTCATTTCCTCAGGAGATGCTATAAAATGGGTGATCTTCTGAAACTATGTATACCAGTTTTGGAGCACAATTAGCTGAATCAGTATTGCCAAAACACTGCCCATAGATATGTTGATGACATTAACAACATCATTGTTCAGCTGCAAAATCAAAACGAAAAAAGAAAAGCGCTCAAGATTATGTCAATGGCTGTGAATCAAAAATCCCATACAGAAGTTGTTAACACAGAGAGAGAGAGAGTTCTCTTAACCCAACCAATTATGTGTCAACCACTAAACCAAAGCAAAACCAAGAAGAGTTGAAATGGAAAAAAAATTAAAAAAGTATTGGAAGCCTACCCATTGGAATCCTTCCTTCTCTTGGAGGGCAGCACCTATGAGGCTCTCACCAAGATTAGCAATCTGGGAAGCTACTACACAAATCATAGCCTCAGGTACATATATCTGTTTTCCAATTATTATTTCAGGAAAAAAAAAACAAAAAAAAAAAAAAGAAGAGGAAAAAAAAAGAAGAGGAAAAGTACTTGTTTGGTCAGACTATTTTGCGAAAGATATAAAATAGTATTTTCCAGACGACTATAAAAATAAATAGATGCGGCAAGCCCCTAAATTTCAGATCTGCAGCGTGCATCTTTTTTCCTCTATCAAACTTGTTTGAGGCCGTCAAAAATAAATAGATGCGGCAAGCCCCTAAATTTCAGATCTGCAGCGTGCATCTTTTTTCCTCTATCAAACTTGTTTGAGGCCGTCAACTAAATCATAGACTACTGTGATATGTTTATTCACCCCAACTTTTGTTTTTTTGGGGAACTATTCTTGATATGTTTTATTCACCCCAACTTGATCCATTCTTTTTAGCCCTGCATTTGTCCTCAAAACTTCCTTACCCGTAGACCATCTAACTCCTTGTGCTGTGTTTGGTTCACTGAAGTGAAATAATCATTCTATCATAACGTCCATTCTCACATTTGGTTCACCAGAAAAATGATGAAAAATGTATTACAAGTGGAATCATCATTTACATTGTAAGGGAATGGTCAGTCATTCCATAAGGAGGCGAAGAAATGACCATTTCATTCTGTTTTATTTCATTCTAGTGAACCAAATATTACATTATTCCTTTGACGTGCAGTCACTGCTCTTGGGTGTACATCTTAATGCTCTTTAAGCTTTGTTTATAAAGGAGATGAGCAAAATGAAACAAGGAAATGATTCAAAGAATGTGGAGAAAATGAGGGATCAAATGTTTAAAATTGTAAGGAACATAATAAATAAATAAAAATATAGGAGAAAGAATATGTCATACCTCACCCATCAAGCAACCAACAGAAGAAAGAAGAATTGAAGCTAAAAGTCCAGCAAGGGTTCCCTCAGCACTCACAGCTCCTTCGGTTCCCCTTGGAACTGTCTTAAACGTCGTGACTAGGTACCTGCATTAGAAGCACTAACTTTACAACATGCAGACTATATGTATTTATGTCACAGAACATTTTATAAGCAGTCATCATTGCTTGGATATTGTAATGGAATTGACAAAGAAAGCTTAGCGCAATATCAAGTAATATTTTGTTCTGGATAGGTAGATTAAAATTTAATTGAGGAACTTCTAGAACAACAAAATAACTAGTAAAATGCATCCAAAATAAATCAGGTATTATGTTGAAGAATCAAAAACCAAAAACATTAAATTTAGTACTAAGTTGCAAATGAATCTTATCACTCTTAAGTTGCTACACATATTTTCTAGTGACATCTATCCAATGGCACCCTTAATTTGGAAACAGAACAAGCAGAGGGAAATTAGTCTATAGCTCACATAAGCAGCAAATGAATACAAGAACTAAACACTATAGTCATTCCTAAAAGCCCAAAAGAACAAACTTGAAGACATGATCGAGTTTGTGCAACAACTCTAGACCTCCAACAATAAGACTGTTTTAGTTGCTCCAAATACTTCAATCCAATATGGGTGCAGTGGATTAAGCCTCCAAAATGGAGGCTAAACAGTTTCGGACCCCCTTTCCTTCTCTCAGTAACCTCTAAAACAAATCCGAACATCATTGTCTTCCTAAGATAGAATGACAGATCACCTAGTGGTTGTCAGTTGTCACCTTTAAACAAATTTTTATACACAATACTAAGAATAAAGAAGGTCTACAATTACATAAATCGAGAAAACTTGCAGTCATAAATGAGTGCAAATTCCCAAATACTTGTGAAAAAAGGAAGTTACCTGACACACACGAGGAATAAGATGCATTACTTACGTTGTTTTGCCATATGCTTTTCCTACTTCACTTGAGACAGTATCACTCAGTTTAGTACAGAAACTAGCAACAAAACCAAGTTCCCAAATGCGAGAAAATGCAATTCCACCAACTGCAAAATACTTGTGAAAAAGGAAGTTACCTGACACACACGAGGAATAAGATGCATTACTTACGTTGTTTTGCCATATGCTTTTCCTACTTCACTTGAGACAGTATCACTCAGTTTAGTACAGAAACTAGCAACAAAACCAAGTTCCCAAATGCGAGAAAATGCAATTCCACCAACTGCAAATATTGAAAGGAAAGCACAAACACAACCAGCTGCACTGGAACCGATCACACTTTCTGGTCCTCTTCTTCCTTTCTTCTTCTCAGCAACCCCTTGAGCCTCCTTTTGTGCCATTTTCAACTTTGTGGCCGCTGTGCCCTAACAGATTCAAAATGACTGAATACCCATTACATGCAAAAACCTGATAATGCAGTCACTAATCAATTGAAAAAAATAGTAAATAAAAATTGAACAAGTTTGAAGCTTCACATTCCATAATTAATTTTTGGCTTAATTTCACTTTTATCTCCTAAACTATCACCATCTTTTCTATTTCATCCCTAAACTATTAATTTAACCTATTTAATCAAAAAGTTTATAACTTCAATTCCTGTGGTCCAATTGGAGATGATTACATAAATCAATGACCATTGAACTTTGATTTGATGGCCAAAAAGGTCATTTCAAAATGTGAACGACTTAAACAAAACAACCAAGCACTCATTTTTCTTATTATTTTGAACAAGGGTATGGCTTCTGTCCAGTCCGGGATCGGACTGGACAGTGCTGTTGGGTCCGTAAGAGCCCACCACGGGTCCCGTTTTGATAATCTGAACCGTTCAATATGTAGAAATCGTCGAGTACTATATGTTTGTAAAAAATCACGTTGATCGGATATCGATAACTATGTGATCAAAATAATTTTTTGTCAACCGTTAATTTGTTCACCGTCTAATTTTTTTAATACGAAACTGATTTGATTATATAGCTATCGATATCCGATCATCGTGATTTTTTACAGGCATATAGTACTCGACGAGTTCTACACATTCAGCAGTTCAGATTATCAAAACAAGACCCGTGGTGGGTCTCCACGGGCCCAACAGCACGGTCCAGTCCGATCTCGGACGGGGCAGAAGCCATACCCTTTGAACAAACTACACAAGAATAAAAGGGCTTAGAGTTATGCAAACTAAAATTTTTGATAAATTACAATGAGCTTCATTGAGATTTGGAAAAACTACAATAAGCCTTATAATTTGATATAATTACACTGACCTTCCTTTTAATAAGCTTAAAATGATAAAAACTAATGCATATAGTGTAAAAGCATCACAATAAACAAGGAAATATATATATATATATATATATATTAGTGTAAAAGATGACAATATCATTTCTTTCGTTCACATGATTAACAAATTATTGACGAAAAAATATTTAGTATTATGTAATTAAATTTTTAAAGAAACTCAAGGTAATTATGTCAAAAATGTAGATCTAATGTATTTTCTTTAAACATCATAAGGTTAGCATAATTTACCCTTAAATTAGGAAACAAAATAATTACTTTTTGTCAAATTTGTAAAATTTATTATATTTATTCAAATCACAATGACATCAGCCTAATTTTGCCAAATCTAATCGCTACCCACAAAATAAAACAAGCAAAAAAAAAAGGAAAAAGGAAGCAATGAAACTGATCTTACAATAACGAAATACGAAGCGACGAGAAGAAAACCAGAGGGTCCAAAAGCGCGCCATGTGAGAGTGCCGAGCAAGAAGGAAGCCCCAATGCCAGGGAGAGAGAGTCCGGAGAGAAGAATCGGAGAACCCACTACGAATATGACAAGATTGCTGAGAATTGCCGATTGCCAAGTAGGCGGCGAAGATTGGAACGACTGTATCGCTTTCTGAACAAGCCCTAGACCAGTGGGATTGGTGATTGCTTGAGCTCTGATTGCAGGTACTGCCATTTTCGGAGCTCGAGGGAAGGGGTTGTGGGTGAAGATTGTTAGGGTTTGAGGGTTGTGTAGTGAAGAGAGATTTGATGGTTGTTGTTGGTGTTGAGATTGGAGGAGGAATGGGAGTGATTGGGGTGGTGGGCTGAGGATCATCACAGTTGGAAAACTGGCCATTTTGAAGTGAGATGAAACTGGAAGTGAGAGGGACTTGCCAACGAAATGAAGAAGGGAAATTCTCCTCACACTACCAATTTATACCCTCAAAATTAGGGATGGGCGCTAGTCGATTGCGGTTACGGCACCTCCAATCCGTCGTCCGTTTGTCAGATTAGTGAATTGGAGAAAATCAATCTACATCCGTCCGCCAATCCAGCGGATGTGGATTGAGCAGATTGGCGGATGAATGCGAATCGGTTTGACAGTTTGAAATTTTATAAATTTTCAACATAGTTTAACTTGTGCACTTTTTTAAAAAAAAAAAAAAAAAAGAGTATTACAGTCAATGACTTAAAAAAGTATTATAATTACTACATGCCTCATCTAAAAAAAAAAGTTTGGAACTTTAGAATATCACAATCACTGCGTGCCTAATCCACATAAAATATTACAATATGTGGTTCTTAAAATATAAAAATAATTCAAACCAAAAAATAGTAGAGATTGTATGTCTCTGAATTGTTACATTTATATATGTTTTTGAAAACAAAAACCAAACAGCATATATCATATTTTCTATTTATTACTTTTAAAGTTAGATTTAAAAATAAAAAAAATATAGATAAATAATACGTTTATTTTTTTCAATTCAAAAAATATATTCAAGTTGAAATTTTTTTTCAACAGAATATTTGAACTCTTTTTCAATTGAAAACAAACAAAATATTTAAACAAATGGAAAACACAAAGTCTTATAAATTACTAAAAGTGCTCGCGGTTTGACGGTTCAGTTGCGGCCAAAGGAACTTCAAATCCGTCATCCGTCCGCCAAATTGGCGGATTGGAGAAAATCAATCCGCAACCGTCCGCTCGTCATCACGCATCCGTCCAAAATGCGACGGATCGATTCGGTTCGGTCGGTTTTGACGAATCTGCATATCCGCTGCTCACCCCTACTCAAAATTAATTTTTTAATTTAAAAAATGTTATAAATCTCAAATAATCTACTAAATTTTTTAGTAAACTTTTTACATATGTAATTCACACAAATTCACATGTGAGTTTTATGTCATGTAAGAAATTTGATAAAAATTTTAATAAATTATTTAAAATAAAAATTCAATAATTCTTTTATTGCTCTTTGTATCTAACTTTCCTCGTTTTTCTTATATCCAAAATCTAAAATTCGGAAACACCAACCCCCATCACCTCCAATCACCGTGCCTTCCCACCCAAAACTTGATGTTTGGAAAAGTACACTTTTTTTTTTTTTTTTGGTTTTTGATTATTTCTTTTAAATTTTTAATCTATATATATTTAAGTCCTTTTTAATCAATAATTTATTTATTGTATGAATAAAAAATAATAATAATGTTGCTATCTATTTTAAACTAAGGCTCGTAATTAGTTTTTTTTAAATAATTTTTTAATTTTTTATAAAAAGATAGTATAAAAAAATAAAGTACATAGGTCGAATTTTTGTATTGACATTTTAACTTAAGTGTTGCTATTAGCACTTCATCAATTATTTTGCATCTCTTATTTTTTTAGCTTTTTTTTTTAAATTACAATAATAACCTTAAATGAAATTATGAAAAATGATATCAAAAATTTTGGAACACCCCATCTCATAATTAAGTCCACGCACCCACTACATAATGAGTTAGGATTTATGAGACCACCCGCCTCCATCACCACTCATCAATCTTTCTAAAATCCCACCTTTAAAAACTTATCACCCTCAAAACCTTGAAAACCCTTTGGCGGCAATATTTTGGTAGTAACAGTGGTAACCATTTGATTACATATACTTATCCGGCAATGTTAATGAGTTAAAGTTTCTCCAGTAACCACAACTCCATAAGACAAGGAAGTACAAGAATAAAAGTTCAGAAGAGATTCATAACTTTGATGGTGTTCTTAAATTATAGGAGATTGATCTTGTAAATATAAGTTTCTTGAAAAAAATGACAAAATTAATAAAATTTGTTCGCCATTTTTTCGGGACTGAACTCCTGAACATATGATAAAAATTCGGGAATACAAGTCCGAACATTGTTTATTTGTTCAGGAATAGGTAATCGAGCATTTCTTATTTACTCAGGAACAAATAACCGAAGCAACAGTAGAAGCAAATAAACAAAAGAGGTCGGATCACTCTTGGGTAGTTGACCAACTGGTCAACTGGGGGTGAAATCATGCCTAGTTTTGCTCACACAGAGAGCATGCAGGTACAATGAGACCGTGGATGAATCATAGAAAATCAACCAAAGAAGCATGAAAGTGGATTGTCTTGTGTATGTGTGAAAAGAGGTAATAAAAAAAAATCAAACAAATTGACAAACCTCGTAATGAAGTAGAAAAAAAACTTCTTAATAATCACCACAAATTTTTTCCATTGATTTTGGGAGGTTCCACCGTCTCAGGTTTTGTTAGGATTTTTAGGATAGAGGGTTTTTGGAGTGTGGGGGATGTGGAGGTGTGCATTTGAATGTGTAGAATGTTTTTATAAGGATAATTTTGGTATTATTTGGGGGGAGAAAAGAAATTTTAAGGGTTTTAGAATTTATAAGGGTCCAAAGAAATGAAGGGTCCAAATAAATTGATGATGTGCTAATAGTAGTACTTTTTAACTTTTGGCTATTTTATTCTCTCCCCAAAACCTCTAAAAATGTATATTTATTTCATTTTCTGGCCATCATCTGCATTGGTTTCAATCTCTTTTGTCATACTGAATAGGAGTTTAGTGTAATTATATAAAAAAAATATAAGGTTAATTTTATTTTTTCCAAACCTTGGGGAGGTGAGTGTAATTTATCCAAAATTTAATTTGTAACCATGCAATTTGTGGGTGTTTAATTAGTCCATGCCTTAAAAAAGATGCTGGCTATCAACTTTCTAGTATGGTGTCTATTCTTTGCTCCATTTGGTTGTTGAGAAAATGCTGGAACTGAGAGGGAATTAATTTTATTGGAATGTGTTATTGTGTCATGGTTTTCTAGCGTTTGGTTGCTTGGAAAGTGTAGGAAAATTGGTAGAAATTGAATAAATTTGAAATTTAGATCTTTTATTGGTTTGAGATTATGGATAGGAGGATTAGAGGTGATCGATCGTTGACCTCTGGGAAGATGGTAGGTGTACGAGCACGAAATAATCTTTTCGTATAATCCTATTGATCAAGTTTGCACTCCTCCAAACGTCGTTGTTTTACTTCTTGAAAACACAAACGTGAGCTAGTTGGCGGGTGTGTGCCGAATACCTCTCTGATGCCTGAGTCAGCAAATAAATAATAGACAAAAAGCTCTGTGTTTTTATGAGTAGAAATTGTAATACTTGTACATAGGTCCTGTCATGAGTTTTTATAGATTCCGCCTGGCATAATCCTAGTAGGACTTCAACTCCCTTTAATAGAGTCCTCCTAGGAATCACAAAGATAATGCTTATCTTTTCACACCCTCCTCACTGCTTAACCAAGTGAGATAATTCAACCACGGTCTGGTAGCAACACAACCAAGCTAGCAGTGCCTTGTCTTACCTCGACTGGCACAAGTCATAATCGTGCTCACACAGCTCGATGCTAATTGAGTCAACTCGATCACCTAGCCTTTAAAATGACCACCTGCCAAACTATCCTTTAACTCGGTCTGATTCCCACTGATACCTCGGTCTTCGACCGCTAGACCAAACCATTGGCAACCCACCTCCGACCGAACCGACGCGACCAAAGACCAAGGCTACCGAGATAATTACCTCGGTCCGTGGTTTGGCCCAGACTGTATCTATCTCGGTCCATTCCAACGCTTTATTTAGCTTGGCCCAATTTTTGCATAAATTACCCTCTCAATTGCCCCTTAATTCCATCTGTGAAGCATGATTGGGATTATTATCTTCAAGTTGTGCTAAGATTTTCAAATCAACCGGATCAACTCAACAGAGTTGGAATACTAACTCTACCGAGCTTGGAAATGCTAACATGAGTAGGTAGCTCGGTCTCCAGAAAATACGTCGGTTGCACAGCCCGTCGTTTCACGTACCTGCCACCATGTCCTTACTGGGACACATGGCACCTGTCCATTGCGTCTTTGCACTGTGACAGCCGTCACACATTTACCAAAAAATATTTGAAAAGTCCCGCTGTTTTCGTGTTTTCACAAAACCCTTTCCTAGAACCAAAACACTCTCACTTATTCACCTCTTCTCTTGCAAATTCTTGCTGCCTGAGCTCCACCCATGTTCTTCCTACGCCCCAGTCCCAACTTAAGTTACTATACCTCCTGCTTCATCTGCCTTCTGGTGTGCCCGCTGTAGTTTGAAAGTTGTTGGTCACGCCCTGAATCTGTAAGTTCCTCTGCAACTAATTTTTGTATTTTCAGTTCTTATTCACCCTATAAATGTATGTTATCTGTAACAGAGTATTTGAGCAAATACCACCAACCCAAAACCTCATGTCTGCACCCAAAAACTTACTAACTAGTTTTTGAATCATTGTTAAACATGATTTTTGATCCAAAAACGTGCTATGACCGAGCTAGGAATTTGTTTGCAACCTACAAGGTTGTGCCTGACCGAACTAGAAACGCACCGATCACCAATTGTGTTAAAAAAAATTTAAGTTGGCCTTGTAACATGGCTGATCTACAGAATGGTCTGTAACCAATTCACAGCCGAGCTAGGCTTACTTTTATATTGCCCATTTACTTAGCCCGATCCAGTAATCTGGACATAACACTTTATTTTCACCTTTGCAGACTTGACTAGGTTGGCCAGGCACACCTTTTGCACTTTGCCCCCAGGCGTTTTTGCTCAACGGAGCTACCAGAATTCATACCAGCGCCGAGCTAGGCTATCGCGTCCTTTTTAACAAAAATCACTCGTTTAAGTTTAATGGGTAAATACCGGCTCCTAGTGGATTCGCCTAGAGCCATGGTTGAATTCTATCGAGACTACAATATTCCTAATGACGTCCACCTCTCTCTAGCCGAACTAGACACCACACCTTGAGGCAAACCGAGCTTCGTTCCTTTCACTGTGACATCAATCGTAGAAGTCGGGCATCGGTTCCCTGTACAACCCCTTGTATG